TTATAGGAATAAAAAGCATTTCTCCCCATTGTACAACTTAATATGTTAGATTGACATCCCAGGACCTCAATGGCACCAACAATTGCATTCATAATTCCAAAGGAGACCATTGAAAAAAATTGCCATTTTTCAGTATCCATTCGTCACTGGCCAAAGAAATGTTGACAACTATGTAATGATTCTATTCATTACACGACTTTTTTGAGGTTTTATTTGAATAAGAAATGAATTACAAATTTTTCGTTTTTTGATTTAATTACAACAATTACAATCAATCCAAAAATTAGTGTATCCATCGGCCACTGAAGTAATGACGAAGTGTCAATTGACCAATGCCGCATTTGAACATCCGGTTTTGAGGCTTATTTAGAGTTAAATCCCTTTGATAAGGAGCAATTATTGATTTATATTTCCGTTAGTTTCCGTGAATTTCCGGATTATGTAAATCAAGTAGGCCACGTTACATTATATGGTAAACGTTCAAGAATGCAGAAGTTGACTTTACAACTCTCAAGAATACAGTGGTCGAACTTACATCTTTCACGAATGCAAAGTCAAGAAGACATAGTTGATATTGTCAATAATGCAAAGTTAAGAATTCATTTTCGTAAAGGAAAGTTTGAATGGTGTCTGATGTGAAATAAAGTTTGAAAAGTAAACTATCAATATCTCTACTTTGTAATTAGTACAGTGACTTTTTGATTTTAGGAAGGCTTATTTTGTAATTGTGTAATGTTGAAATATGTCTTTGTAAAGTCGAGGCCTTGTTTTCAAGTTTGACTTTGTAAATACTTCTGGCAACGATCAACCTCCATAAATTCTATCGTATCGTAATGTCTAAGCAAGATATGTTTGACGATTGGTGTTTCGAAGATAAATAAATCATCACTTACCAGTTTTAGAAGGATGTACCCTATCTTTGGAGCTCTTTTCATTTGGACTAGTTGTGGTTCCATCTAAAATTAAATTTTACAACGTGTAGCTTACAACAGGCACTGTTCTATGTAGCTATCCTATAAAGTTCTGTCGTCCTACACAATACACAATATTACGAGTAGGCCTATTAGTTTTAATCAAGCATCCTATGTCCTGTGTACAGTTTCATCCTAGGTCTAAAATAAAGGGTTTCTTTTCCTACCTTTTAACGGCCTTGAGGAATAACCCTTTACAATTACTTTAATAATGTCCACTACTATACATTTAACTTCAGATTTTGCCATGCTTTGGGCGAAATTTTGATTAACAAAATTGTCTTGCTTGTACGGATTTTTATTATCTCAACTACGTTAATTATTATATTCTCCTACCGTTGACGATAAATTTAAAAGACATGAAAGGAGAACTACATGTTTATGGAGAGGACAATGCCGTGAAACTCTCAAATGCCGTGTTGTTTATAAAAAGCTAAATCCAGCTATGTGCGACGCCTAAAAAATAACATCAAAAGCGCAGGATACTATGATTAGCCTACTGATATTTTTCTGTGATATGAAATCCTGATTTCATGATTTAAGATAATAGATACAAAGACTCTTTTGAGTCCGTTTCATTTGGAATAGTTATGATTTCAACTAAAATGAAATTTTACATCGTGTAGCTTACAACAGGCACAGTTCTACGCTTACGTAGCTATCCTAGATAGATCAGTTGTATGTTATATTATATTTATTGTTTTGGTAAAAATATGTCATTAATATCCTACACAATATAGAAAATTACAACTAGGTCTATTGTTCAATTCTATATTCAAAGAATGCTCTCTACTCCTATGTCCGATTACATAGTTTATTTTCTGTTGCCTTTTTATTGCCTTGACAAACAACTCTTTAAAAACACCTTTCATCGTGTGACTTACCTTCAGCGCTTGTTGTTGATGTGTAACTTCTTAAACAACTAGGCCCGTCTCCAGTAACGGTATGCTCTTCGTAACCAGGTTTACATTTGCAAACCTTGTCAGATACAGATGAACATTCTGATTCTATAACGGCGTTTTGATGGCATTCAAGGTAAGTACACCCTGCGCAGTTGTGAGCAACGTTGGTACTGCTACTGAAGGTACCACGAGGACATGGTTCACAAGTTACTCCTTGTGTATCGCTACATGGTGTTTTTACATGTTCTCCAGGGCCACATTCACATGCTGGAAAACAAAGTCAGAGTAGCCTATATGTTTACTTTATAGTTACGATAAAATCCTTACTAATTTGAAATTTTGATTTCGCAGCTTATGAAGCTTAATATCGTTGCTCAAATTATCGTTTTTGTACCCTGACGTTAACTAGACCGAAATATCTTCCTCTATTTCACCCTCTGATAGCTAATTAGACAGTTGATTAGAAGCTGATGTATCGGTCTAGGTGGTAGGGAATTTCATTCCCAACAGTAAATAGAGTCTCTATATCAATCTAATAATGCTGGCCTGCTAAAAGTATCCTCTTTGCACAGCGCAAAGTGTTGTTCGTTTCATTGGTCCAACCAGGAGAGGAAAAGTAAAAAGTAAAACTCCATTTCATATCGATTATATACAGAGATCTCATCTAATCAGCAAACTTTCATTAAAACACATACAATGTAGTCTATACGACCTTTGGCAGAACGAAAAGATTCGTCGATGCATAACTATAGAATATGAGAAGCCACAGGGGAGAAAAAAAAGAAAGGGATTACCTAGATAAGCATTTTAAGCAGATTGTAATAAAATGGTTTATCTAAGAACAATAACTCTTACCTATTTCATCAGACCGGCGGAATCTGACTTGATCCTGTAATAAAAATACCCTTGGACGTTTATAACATTTATCTGGTTATAATATATACATGTATGTTCAACCAAGGACTGCTGTAACGCGATCCTATCTTATTTTGGTAACAAAAAAGATCAGATCTGTACATTTTGTACGGTTTTCGAAAATTGGAGAGAGCTGAATACTATACAATACAATAATAACATTGATTGGTTTGAGTGATATGGTGAAAGAAAAAGACTTCTACTAAAGGCCTGTCGCAATGATGTTATTTTTAACCAATTAAAGCGTGTCATATAGAACCCATTTCTTGATAGTAATAAAAAGGAATTGTGAGAAAGCGAACCCCGTGGAGTCTGTCATAGTTCTCTACTTTAGGTTTCCATGAATCTGAGGCTATAGTTCTTACTGTACGACCCCACCAATGTGCTTGCGACCCTGCAATACTTTGAGTGTGTGCTAGCGACCAGTGATTTGAAGACCGGGGCTTTAAAGGCCCCATTAAAAGTTTATTATCGACTTACGTGAATATTTGGAGTAGAGATTATACTGGTAGTACATACAATAACCAATAACGTTATCAGCTTGATTATTTTATTCATTTTGTCGTCTGAAAAATACAATGAAACATGATAATTGTTGCACAAACCGGACTGTTAAAGGTCTTTATCCTCGAAGCAGCTGAGCTTTCATGTTTTGTACCAGAAACATATGCCTCTATTCCAGTCTGTGATAGCTATTTTGAAAGTTGTCGACAGACATACAAGGCCCTGTTTTATGAGCAATTGTCAGCACCACCGAAAGTGCGTTTTGTTAAAACTATTTCTTTAAATCGGATCCGCCAAACCGAGATATATGCGGAAATATGAATATTTTTGTAGTTATTCAATCATAATCCCCCTACACCAATTATGTCACGTCTGCGGTTCCATCAAAGTTTTTATGTTTATTAACGAAACTGATCTCTCGTCGAACGTTAAAGATCCCTCCAGTTTTCTCATCGCCCTTTTCCTCACTTTCCCACCCTTGTCCCCACACTGCAAAATATTAAAATGGCCCTATTATTTTTTTTTAGTTGTAACAGTTTGTATTACTGACACTAAGATTATGCATATGCCATTGTTGACATAACGGAAGTACTAACAACCGAAAGTGGTGGAAACGATTTTTACTGTGCAGAATTATTTGACTTGCCGACGGTCTACAATGTATCAATTTCAAAATGGCAACCGACATAGCAATTTTCGATTAATTGCAGCAAAAACAAGTATCGAATGAATTATGGAAAATGTTCAACTGCTATAATTTGAATTATGATAAAGGAAACCCGAGCTTTTATGCGGATATGCAGAGCATTTTTACGCTAGAGTTCTGCAACATATAGTTGCGATTACTTATGTACTAAGCGCAACTCAAACTCAAACTTAAAACGTGATTACATGTGTCCGTATACGATGATTCCGCAAAACCAAAGTCAATGTTTGAAGGAGAAGAAAAGTCCCCCCATCCCCACAGTAATGATGTCATAAAGGGGATTCCCCCCTTTTGGCACCTTGCCAGATATCCATAGTCGCCAGGAGACGAAAAAAAAAATTGGTCACAAACCCATCCGTTGCGCTTACGGTGTTGAGTTTGATTTGGGGGAAGGGAGGGTTTGATTCTCTCAAATGTAGCCTAAAGGCCTATGGTGGAACAGATACTTCATTTTGAAATTGGGATTAAGGCTCCTGATGCTGGGGTTTCTTCTGTTCTGATTCTGATCTGAAATCAGAAATAATAACTCGCCCGATGGGGCGATGGGTATCTATTATGTACTGATTGTTTATAGTTTACTATGAACAATATTATCATTTAAGTTCTTATTTTTTGAATATGCAACTATCATTTTCTGCTTATAGACATGGGGATTTTCTCTTGAAGGCTCTTATAATGGGCATGAACTATCTTGCTTGCTCGATTGCTGGTTGTATTAAACGGGACAACAAAGGGTGCTATGCATACATTATGGTGAATATTTAATCCTATAGGTCTTGCTGTATTCAATGTCTCAATCCAATATGTTTCCCTAGATTGACGGAATTTGGTAGTTTCATCTGTGGGCAAGTCAACTTCTATGCGCTCAATTTGGATTAGGGTGAGATCGTCTATTGAATGGTCGTCGAGGTTGAATTGATTAGAAACAGACTTGTCTTTCTTTAATCTGATATCCGACCTATGAGCATTAAAACGAGTTCGTAAATTATTCTTAGGATCTCCTACATATTGTTTGAGGAATTTCTTACATGAAATTAAATATATTACATTCAAATGTTCACATATTAGATGTTCCTGGATCGGGTACCTTTTATTCGTAGAGTTACTTAAAAAATAATGAATTTCTGGTATAAAGGGACATGTTTTGCATCTATTGGAAAAACAAGGAGCTCTCCTTAAACCTGGAGGTACTTCGGCATAAAGCCTGTTTTTAGTTGCTATCTGTGCTAAAGTGGAATTTTTTTTGTTTCGTAAAAATCATTTAGAGTACCCACACTCTTTCAGTTTGGAGAAGACAGTCGTACAGGCTAGGTTGAAGATCTTGTGCAAATTCGGTGAAATCGTAAAACTTACGTAATGAATGACAGACATTATTTACCGGAACTACGTCAATATTGTCACGTGATCACGTGATCCTGGTAATTCAAATATAAGAGGTTGGTCGTTCAGCACTAGGAGTATTTTGTTAACAAAGACAATGAAAACTAAACATCCGTCAGATATGTATTCAAGATGATAATAAAATGTATCATTAGATAACCAATAGTCACAATATAGCATTAAATGCATAAGGATTACCGAATGACATGTCCTCAAACTCAACACCTTCGTAAGCGCAACGGATGGCTCTCGGCTACGGACAGCTGGGGGAATCCCCTTTATGACATCATTACTGTGGGGTACTTTCCTCTTCTACGTTTGATCCAATACCACTCGATTTCCTTTATACATGGACGGTTTTGTGGAATCATCATAGTAGTAGAGAGACTACTTGGTGAATAGAAAATTATGGAAGCCGTCTGCGGCCATATTCTCGCCTTTTCTTCGCTTTCTCGCTTTCTCGCCTTTTTCCTCGCTTTCTCGCCTTTTTCCTCGCCTTTTTTCATTCATCTTTATCAGTGCACATTTTTTTTTTCAAATTGTTGATTTAATTGAATTAATGAAAAATTAAAAAAAAAACTCTCGAGAGCGAGAAAGCGAGGAAAAAGGCAAGAAAGCGAGGAAAAAGCCTCCCCGGATGGACGAACATAAAATAAATCGTTCCGAAAAGAAAGCTGGTCGTTCCAATAAATAAGTAATTATAATGTGATAGGGTGCATTTTTAACCAAACTTGGTATTTTATATAATTGTTGTCTGGTTTTATAATGCATCTGTATGTTTTAAAGAGCACATAATTACTAAATATTGGCCTTACTAACATTAACTATTGTCCTCTCTAACCTCTTAACTTAAACTGGTCTCACTGGACAATGGCTGAACTGTCTTTAGGGTAGTCAGTCCAGTGAGTTGCTGGTGAGTTTTCATCATTTTTAAATCAGTTGGACCTTGGATACCAAACAAATGGTTTCTTTCAATTTTCTACCAAGTTCTACCAACTTTTCTTCAGGTATGTGTGTTTGGGTTATTATCTAGGATAGTTGTAGTATTTGGGTGACTATATTTTGATAGTAAGAAGAGTGATTGTGGTAATGTTCTAGCTATGCATAGCATCTGGCAGCCATATTGAATATTTCTCTGTTTCACCATTTAAGATACCTCCTTTTACTTTTTATAATAATAATCCTTTATTTAATTACAGCTGTATCTAATAATATGGTTAAGATAATAGCAGTTGTTTGATAAACACCCCATCTTTGGGTTAGTATTCATGTTTATATATTTATTCTCTGTATATATTATCCATATTAATTCATCATAAGGTTCTATAGAATTCATGTAATTAAGTTCATTCAGAGACAGTTTTTATCGGAGTCAACCCCCAGCGAGCTAGCCCGAAAACAAGGCGACAAATAGAAATAGCATAAAATAAATAAAAAATAATGAAGATAAATTGTGTTAATATACTTCAAAATTGTTTAATTCAAATAATCATACTCATACCTACTTTAATATTGTTTGAATAAAAGATCCCTTACGTTATGGCAAACTGTTGATCATTAGGTAAAGAGCCCTGAATTATTTAAAGTTATAAATAGATTATGACATAAATGAATCAAATCGAGATTCGTCAACCTGTTTACAGTTATGTGGAAGGTAACTCGACATCTGAATTAACTGAGAATTTGCACGATGTCTCGGTTAGAGTATGTCCATCATTTCATCAAAAATAGAGCCAGAAATGGTTATGTCCTTTTTT